GGGCCTGACACACGGCGGGGTCCCGGGGCGTTCATCCAGCCCCTGCCCCTCTGCAGTCCCCCTTTGATTGGCGTTGTGCTCTCTGTCGGTGCTTGTGAGCCCCGAAGGGGCATTAGGGCCCCCAGAGAGTACGTGCTGGTCCACGAAAGTGCACGGCTGTGTAATCGCCGTGAAGTTCAAGGAACTAAGCGTTGTCTCGGCTCCGGTGCTCTGTTTCTTCCTTACGTGTTGTTGAGCAGTTTAGGTAGTTGCCCAGAACTTGTTTTTATTAAAGAAAAAAAAAATCCCTAACAAGCAAAAAAAAAAAAAAACCCTAAAATAAAAAAGTACAGAAGGATCAAAGACACGAACTCTGTAAGCACAACTATTCCTAAATTCACAGGCAGGTGCGTTCTTACAGTGAAAGGGGCTGACAGCTGTTCAGGAGAACAGTAAAGGTTGTTTTAGAGAGATGACCCACATAGATCATCGAATCATAGAATCGTTTAGGTTGGAAAAGACCTTTAAGATCAATCAGTCCAACCATTAACCTAACACTACCAAGTCCACCACTAAACCAGTTAAGGGTAGAGTAGTAATTTAATGTTTCCTGGCTTGGTGGCTGGATTATTTTTTAATGAAAGTAAAAACTAGGAATCATTAAGATTGGAAAGGATCTTGAAGATCATCTAAGATGATCTCTAAGATGAAGCCATATGGATGATTTGGGGGGGGTGATAAGTAGGATCCTGAAATTAGTTTTTTGTCTTAAAAAGTATTCACACAGAACAGTAAGTAAACTTCATTGTAGTTCCTGTGTTCAGTATTTTTAAAACATCAATTTAAAGATAATTTAGCAAGTACTTACTTAGAATCACTGATTATTCTTTATGCTTTTGATAGATTGTCAGAACGGAACTGTATAGAAATTGTGACTAAACTGATTGCGGAAAAGCAGTTGGAAGTAGTACACACACTTGATGGAAAAGAGTATGTCACTCCAGCACAGATTAGTAGGGAGATCCGGGATGAGCTTCATGTTTGTGGTGGTAAGTGTGGCATTTGCTTTCTCTGTCTGGATTTGGAAGTTAATTTTGAAGACTACAGAAAGAAGTTGAAAGTTTTCTTCAGTACCCTTAACCTTGCCAAAAAAAGTGAGCTTGCTTCTTCCTGCTTCATCTACATATTAATTCATCTACTGTTATTTTATTTTCACTTCAGATCTGTGTTAAGCTTTTAGGTAAGCATATCCAGATATGTTACTTGGTTCGTTTTCACTCATGCAGAATTCATGCATGAGGTAGAAGTGGTCAAACAACCCTTTTGAAGGAAATTTGGCATTTTAGTATGGTTAAGTATCTGGCCCAGATGTTTGGCCTTGACTCAGAATTTCAAAATCATTCTCCTTTTATGTCATTAGTAATAACGATATTTTTAAGTTGTCATTGACAGGTCTTTTATTTTACCAGTGTGAAGAGCCATCTGCTTTGTAAGATCTGACTTAGATATATGAGGAAGAAAATACACTTCAAACTGCTTTTTGTCAATGGTTTTAATGCGAAGGCAGTGTATTGTACTTTTAGTTATATTTAAGGGTGAATTTCACGGCATTGTATGTTTGGAAAATTAGCTTCCTTATGTTCATACAGATTAGTCATTTTCTTACGATTACCATGAGTGTGCCTCAGTTTGTGTTATGCCATTGTGTATCATATCAGTATGATAGCTTGAACTGAATTTAAAGTTGCTGGGTTTTGTTAGTAGCATCATGCAAAGATAGAAGGTTTTGGCAATCTCTGTTTTGATACTCATGGACTAGTGGTCAAATCCAGATCAGCATCAAGGCAAAAAATAAGTGGGAGAAAGTTTGAACAGCAATTTTCTCTTCTGGAATTTCTGTATTGGATTATCAGCAAGGCCATAGGGTAGAACAATATGGGATATCTTGCACTGACCACCTGTGGTTTCTGTGATTTGACAATATATAAAGCTGAAGTTGGTTTAATTGGTCTACAAAAAAGTAATGAAGAAATACTTTGTACATGATGGACTATACTATATTCTAAATCTGTTCAATCATGTTTTGTATACTAAAAGCATATTTGTACTTTTTTTTTTGAAGGTCGTGTAAACATTGTTGACTTACAACAGGTAACTTTTTAGTAATAAAAATCTATATACTTCTTTCTTTTCTTCACCATGTATATTGTAAATATGGAGTTCATCAGTTATACTCCAGCTAAGTTACTTTTTTAAAAGAGAACAAATTTTAGGAAGAGCTGGTAGCTCGTGTCAGAGTACTGCAGATTAGTTAATCCATCCATTTAACTGCTTTATTGAAAGCTTCTCTCTGCTTAATGATGGTCTAGGACCTCTGAAATCACCACTAAAATATACAGATTTTCTTTATGAGCTCTTCCTTTGTAAACTAAGGGGGGCAAACAGAAAAGAAATATGTTTCCCATTTAAATTTAAAGCTGCAGGAGCATGCATAATTAACTTTGCATGCCTCTCTGGATCTTCGCTCTTCCTTCATTAATCTCTTGTCTCTGCTAATCCTTATACTTCAGTAGTTTTTCTCTGTGACTAATTTGCCCTTCTGGCTTGAGTAAATTACTTGGAATCAGAAAACCTTTCTGAAAGACAATTTAGTGTAGCTTTCTGGAATTTTTTATTATATAGGTTTCTTTTATTTTGTCACAGTTGCAAAGAGAGCTTTCTCCCCCTAAAGCATTGCTGCTTTATTCCAAATCACAGATTAACTGCGTATGTATGCAATAGCAGCAAAAAATAAAAGCAGCTTTCCTCAAGACATAGGAATGTGTAAGTATAACATCTCAATGTTTGTGAATTAATTTCAATTTGAAGTTCTGATAAGAGGTTTTGTTGGTTTGGTTTTTTTTTGAGGTAATAAATGTGGACCTTCTGCACATTGAAAACAGAGCTAACGACATCGTTAAATCTGAGAAAACCATTCAGCTTGTACTGGGACAGCTTATAAATGAGTGAGTACTTTCAGGAGCAATGTATTTAATTCACAGCTCTTATTTGTTTAAAAAGCAGACTAAAAGCGATGGCCAGCCTTTGTTGCTTCTGAAGTGAAATACATTTTTCTTGACTGCTACTAGGGCCGTTTGGTGGTGATCAGTGCTTCTTTTCCAAGTGGAGAGTGAGGCCTATCTCAGCAGAGCATCCAGTGAATCCATGGAACAAAGGCCTTACTGCGTGCCTCTGCCCAGTATCCTGCACTGAAGAGGCTTAATTTCTTACCCAGTGTCTTTGTGTACTGCAGCCAGATCTCATTTGCCCCAGCTATTGACAAACCCTCTCATTTTTTCCCACCTCTTGCTTTGCCTCACAAGCCTAAGATGTATGAGCAAGTTATTTCATGGCATTCAGCACACTAACAACCACTGAGGTAATACTCCTATGGGGTTGTCTCTGTTATTGATTGCGCTGCAGTATTTTTCTTGGCAAAGAATGTGAAGTTCCTGGCTCTCTTGAAATAATTAAGATTTGTCTTGCTCACTAAAGCCCTTTTTCTAAGTCTCATTGACATGTAATGTTTTCCTGTTCCTGCTTTTTGACAGTTTAATACAAGCAGATACATGGTCAATTTTAATACTAGCTACCTGGTTAGCAGGCTTTTTAAAAAGCCCCACATTTTCACTGACATTATTCTCCTTTATTCATTTAAAATAACTTTCAGTTTATTTTTGTAAAGATGCAACAGAAAGAGGTATAGTGCTAGGTCAATTAATAACTCGGCATGTGGCTAACAGGTTGATCTTGAATTTCACACTTAATGTGTTGGGGTTTTTTTTCTTTTTCTTGTTTTTAAATAAGGAGTTACCTGGATCAGTTAGCAGAAGAAATAAATGATAAACTACAGGAAACCGGACAGGTGACAATATCGGAACTCTGCAAGGCATACGACCTTCCAGGGGACTTCCTGATACAGGTGATGCAAGCCACCAACCTGTAGAATTGATTGTGTTCACCTTCTTTTGTTATCTTTGCAATATCCATGGCTTTAATTGTGATGAGCTGCTTGTCATTCTAAGCAGAAAAGTATTAGATACATAAAGGTTGCAGTGTAACAGCTATTCGCAGATTGAGGTTGATGTTTGCCTTTTCACTACTGGGCAAAATTTCTTCAGAATCTTTATGACTCTCAGGAACAGATTAGGATTAGTAATGTTAGGAACAGGTTAGATTAGTGTAAGATCTGAAAATTTATTTGTTTGAAATATTAAAGATGTAGGGGTAATTTCATCAGTCTCATTAGCTGCCCAGAAAGCAGAAATACAATGGTAGAGACCTTTCAGTTTATTCAGAAAAGGTAAAATAAACGTTCGTTTTTAGAAGCTGAAGCCAGACATTCAGAGTAGAAGCAAAAAACTCTTTAACTTTGTTAGTGACTATTGTAGTGTTTAAAAGGATTGGGGAGAATTCTCTTACCATTGTTGACTTTCAGTCAAGGCTGGATTTTGTTTGGAAGATACTTTTTCAAAGGATAATCCTGTGGCATTGTATTAGGTGAACAGTCATATTTGGTACCACAGACAACCTTGTTGACTCTCAATTTATGAGCAGATTTCCTCTAATATTTGTCATCTGATCAGCTTCTACAAAAACATTTCTAACATACAAAATATTACATGGTTTCTCTTTGTTTCCTGGGCAATATTGCCTGGGTTTAGTTCACTTTGCAAGGATGCACATTTATAAACTGTTTGCACCTCTTCCTTTTGTGTTTATTGTTGCTAATTTTTATCTTGTGTGCTTGAAAACAGGGATAGTGAATTCATCTGCCACTGGTTCGTACAAAATTAATACAAAGGTTAAATCTTAGATTTCATTGTGCATCTCCAAACCATACTTATTTCTTTTGCAAAGTTTTCTTTCATCATTAGATACACATATACCTGATAGAAGAGGGCATTGTTAGGAAAGCTGAATTCCCTCAAGTTTGGAGTGTGGGCCATAATGACATCAATTTAGATGTAGTAAGACACATTCTTAATATACCTAAATAATAATTCCCACTTGTAGCCCTCATTTCTGAATATTTTGTCTGTCTTAGCAAAAGTAATTTGCTGATTTGTTAATACAGATTTTTTTTATTAATTTTTGTTTAACATCGTTAATATGCAATTTTAGCAATCATCCCAGCTTCTATTTACAGGCATTATCCAGGCGTTTGGGTAGAATTATTCATGGACAACTAGACCAGGAAAACCGTGGGGTGATTTTTACAGAAGCCTTTGTGTCCCGGCATCGAGCACGCATTCGTGGTCTCTTCACTGCGATTACTCGGTAAATTGCAACACCTGCAAACACATACTAAATTATTTTTACCATAGGTCTTTATGGACCAAATTCACTTGCGATTGAAAAAGAAAAGAAAATAAAGACCTATGGGTAGATTTCTTTAAGTGTAGTTCAGTTCTTGGGGTGAAATACTTAGTTATATTAGACTCAGTTTTTTGAAATGGGGACCTCCTTTTGACAGAAAAACAAGGAAGGTGTAACAATATACAGTATACAGCATACTTAGGTTTTTTGGATGAAGAAAATTTTAATCAGTAGTTCTTTCATTTGTTTGGAGAGTATCTATCCTCATTGTTATTCCACTGCTCCCCAGTCAGTTACCTATTGATGTCTACCTACTACATGTGATTATAGATAATTTTTTCTTATTAAATCAATAACCTGCACTGTCAATTTGTATGAAGAGAAAAACTTGGGAAAGCAAAAGTTTCCTTACAATAATTATCGTAGCTTTGTTATAACTTCATAGTAATTCAAAATTAAAACCTTGTAAGCTGTGTTAAACACTAAACACCAATGTAGCACCCTGGGGCCAAGATACTATGTAGTTTTGTCCATCTGGAGTAACCTCTCTTATTTGTAGATCCTCCACATCAATTTCAGGTCGTTAACTTACGTTTGTTTGTTTTTCTTTTTTCCAAGGCCTACACCTGTAAGTAACTTGATCACTCGGTATGGATTTCAAGAACATTTACTTTACTGTGAGTTTTTCAGACTGTTTTGTATTTTTGTTAGTTAATTCATAGGTTCGTCATTACTAGAAGTATGCTTTCAAAGAAGCGTTTTAGTATATAGCCTTAATTGCAGAATAAAGAACAATATGTTTCTCTTTAGTGTAAAAAGTGTTAAACCTTTTGTGCTGTCCGTAACTGAGGAGAACTTCTCTGTATCTAAACCAATGAAAACATACGTTGATGAAATGCCTCTGGGGGCAGAATGATGCAAGAAGTACAGTACACATTTTGTCATCTGTTTCATTATTTGCCCTTAGCTACTGGCAGTTTTATCAGTGAAGAACACAAAAGGGGACAGATTTTATGTAGCCAAATGACATTAACTGCTCCGGATTTTATTTATTGACTTTTCTCTGTGATAGCAGATGCAGAGCTTTTGTTATGGTGCTAGTTAAATGTCTTTGTATGTTGAGAGAGAAAGCATATCCTTAAACTGTTTGCTTTTATTTTCCACAGTTCCTTTTTTGAATAGAAATGCATAAAGATTTCCTGTCCAGCTGCTGAAACTTTTAGGCAGTACTTAATTGTTTCTCACTTCTAATCGTGTAGCTTTTCTTTGACTACCCGCTCCCATCTGTCCAAAATGCTGCTTCAAGCATCATTAGTTTTGTATGCTGGCTGATCAAGTGCTGCTGGTCTTCAGAATCCTTTAATGGTTTTCTATCTCTTCTCATGGAAGTTAATATTTCTCTTTTGTTTGATTGGATCGTTTTGCTTTCAGGGCATTGCACACTTTAGCCCCACTATTGTATCTCTCTGCTTACCTTCTTGTCCTTTGCAACAAGCTTATTCATTAAAAATTAAAATCTTAGCATTTAAATAAAATCATATAAACACTCTACTTTCACATAATCAATTTAAGGTTTCCTTTTTTATTTTTTGAATGTACCATCCAGGTATTCATAGATTAAAAGGAAAATCTGTTAAACTGCATTATAGTAATGTTGCAGTACTCAACAAATTTCAGTATGCGGTTACAAACTTTTTCAAAAAGGTCCTGCAAGTACATGATCATGTTTTGCTCATGTGCAGTGTTAATGTGAATTGAAGTTCTAGTGTTTTCATCATCATGATGGCTAAGCTGGTGAAGGGTCTGGAGCACAGGCCTTATGAGGAGCCGCTGAGGGAACTGGGATTGTTTAGCCTGGAGAAGAGGAGGCTGAGGGGTGACCTTATCGCTCTCTACAACTGCCTGAAAGGAGGTTGTAGTGAGGTGGGTGTTGGTCTCTTCTCCCAAGTAGTTAGCGATAGGATGAGAGGAAATGGGCTCAAGCTGCGCCAGGGGAGGTTTAGATTGGATATTAGGAAAAATTTCTTCACGGAAAGGGTAGTCAAGCATTGGAACAGGCTGCCCAGAGCGGTGGTGGAGTCACCATCCCTGGAAGTGTTCAAAAAACGGGTAGATGTGGCACTTTGGGACATGATTTAGTCTAGTCTACCCTTGATTGGTTTAGTGTGGACTTGGTAGTGTAGGTTAGTGGTTGGACTGGATGATCTTAAAGGTCTTTTCCAACCTAAACGATTCTATGATTCTAAGTGTGTTTCTAGTACTTTCTTCTTCTGTGTTTTTCTTTTGAGTTTGTTCATCTTTTTCTTTAGTTTTTCTCTGTGTGTTTCATTTCCTCTGTAGTTTCATAAGTTTCAAAGAGCTTTTTACTCACTACCAGAGCACATTTGACTTTATTCTGTCCATTTGCTGAGATACCATTTCAATTTCACAAATGCTGGAAACTTGAAAAATATCTTCTAATGATGTTACTTACGCTCTTCACTTTTTATGTGTGTCATTATTAGCAATGTGTTTTAAAGTGGTCTTTGTCAGTTTTTTGTCTCTTCCAGAAAAAAAGGTAAATTCAGTGTACTGTTTGTATAATTTACAAACAGCTAATTATTTAATCAACACTTAGTGTTAGACAAGATAAACAATAGTCTTTGGTTCTATCACATAGCCGTGCTGCTATTCATGTTAAGCTGGCTTGAAGTTATGATGCAAAATAATTTTAGAAATGAGAAACTGTTTAAGTTAAAATACAAAGTTCTTTATTTCTGAATATTGTTTTGCTGATGTAGGACAGGCATGGAGGGATGCTTATCATCTTTGCCAGACTTTGACAGAGACCTAATAGGACACTACAAACTACTCAGTCACCTTTAAAAATAAGTGTGAGATTACAGTAGTTCTGCAAAGGTCCTTTTGTTTTGTTTTAAAACAAGACTATCTAGGCATAATTGTAGTAGGGGCTGTGAAATCTCCTATGAAAGCACCTTTTCTGCCCTGGAGTTTTAGAACTGGCACTTAAAATAATAAAAAAATCAATTGGCCTCTTCATTTCCCCCCCTTCTCTAAAGACTGCAGTTCATTGCTAGTGTGCCACAAAATTGCTTGAAAATCTATTAAAGTTTTACTCCTGTTCCCAAAAACTTTGAATAAAAACAAGTTGACATTGCAAACAAAGAACCAAACTGTATTGTCTGACAATTGCTTAAGTAGAATAGGCACATTGGCTATTTTTTAGGGTAGCTAAACTATTAGTAAGTATAAAAATCTAATTTTATTTTCAGAATCTGTCTTACAAGCTCCATTTTATACAAGGTAACTGAACCATGGCAGAACATTCTAGCTCTTGTCTTAGTTTACGTAAAGCTATATCTTGTTTAAATCAGTTTCTCTTTCTTCTACATTTTTTCAGTGTAAGTACTGTTCGCCTTTGTTAGTGGCAGGTGTGTTCAATAGCTGCCAGCTTATGGAGGCTTACCTACACTATGGGCATATCTGACAAAAAAATCATGATTTAATATGCAGTATTTCTTCTGGAACCAGGTTTTCAGGTGAATTTTCCTGTGTAGGTGAGTTAAACCTCCATATGCTGTACTAAGCATGTTCTAATATTGACTGCTACTCATATTTAATGAGGAAGAAGCCATACCATGTGATGCCATTTAATGTTCTGTTCCAGGGTAAAATCTGTCTTTTAATGAAATAGAAATCAACACAAACTGAAGATAAAAAAGCCATCTAGCAAAGCTCTGGAAATCAGCAGGCTTGGCAGTTGATGTCACTGATTTTTTTTAAATATATGTAGTACTTACAAAAAGGCAAAAGTGGAACATAGGAGGCAAATCAGATATTCCTGTGCACCTTTAATGGATCGAAAATACCTTATTTAGCATTGAGAAAGGCTTAGTACTTTGGTACTACCAGTTACCAATATGTTCTTTGTCAGCAATATTTGTGCATTATCAGGAGGTTATTATTGGCAACAGTGTGAACATTGTAAACCATTAAGATGGTCACCAGTAGGAGGTGCTCACATTTATGCAGTTTAGGTAGCAATTTTTCATGTCATTTCAGTGTGTTCAGACCTCTCTTTTTTCCATCTTGGTTAACATGCAAGCAGTGAATTCAAAGAGAACATTATTAATAAAATGCTCGTATATTTTATTGTCTGGCCAGAGATTCTTTTTTGACTACATTTTCTAAACTAAAAGTTCAAACTGTCCAGGTATATGTCCAATAAAAAGTGGTTTGATCCTGCCATTGTGGCTTACTCTTTTGAAACGTTGTATGATTTCCAGAGTTTTTAGCAAGACATTCTCATAAGTGTTAAAAATAATTGATAGAACTCAGAAATGTTTCACCAGAACAAGACAAACAACTAATGGGTGGGAAAAAAAGAAGTAACAAAACAGGGAAAATAATTGCTGTGTTTTGATTAATGGATATATCGAAGTGGAAAATGTCACTTCATTTATTTTCTACTTGTAGCTGTGCTAGAAGAACTTGTTAACACTGGACGTCTAAAAGGCACCGTGGTTGGTGGGAGACAGGATAAGGCTGTGTTTGTTCCAGACATCTATGCCAGGACACAGAGCAACTGGGTGGATTCCTTTTTCAAGCAGAATGGTTACTTAGGTAATTAATCTACATTCTCATAGATAAAATATCTTTCTAACTAGTTTAGGTAACTGGTTCTACCCTAATGTAGCTAGTGTCTGGAGTGTCTGGAGTGAAGCCTCACAAGAATAAGTGGAAATCAATACAGTAGTTGATGCCCCTTTGTTAAAAGACCGTCTTGCTCAGAGTGGTGTTACTTTATCACAAAGAACCATATTTGAGCAGAGAACCATACTGCTAAACAGTAACTTTATTTCTCACAAACAGAGTTACAAATCCTACTTTTATAACCGTTCTGAAAACGTTTCTTAGACTGCTCATTGTAGACTTTTCAGATGATAATGTTTGACCCACATGGTTGGAGTTTCAGTCCAGGTGTCCAGATTACAACCAAACTTTGGCTGTTAATATTCCAGATAGCCAAGCGTGCAGTGCACAGGAAGAACCTTTTCCAAAATAAGATTTGTAGAACTGGAGTGGGTAGCACTAGTGTCCTGATTTGAATCCAGACAAGTCTGTCTAACTTAAAGCTGAGTGATGCTGGACAGTGGTGTTTTAAAACAGGAGCTATGGGAAAATGTGGACCTGAATAAACAGAGGAATGTACCCTTATGGTCCCAAAGGGCCAGTCCCTAAATAACAGTTAGTCTTGCAGTTTGAAAAGGTTCAGTATAATTTACTGTAGTAGTATTAAGTGTTTCAGTAATATTGCTTGACTGATGGAGTATCTGTCAAAGTCTTTGAATGTTTTCAGAACATCTAAGAATAAACTCCCAAATAGTTGAAATGCTTTGCTTGTGAGGCATTGCACAATTCTACGAGTATATTGGAGTAACTTTTGAAAACAAAACATTTTGACATTGTATGTATTGTAAATATTGTTCATGTTATATTAGAATACTTTGGAAAGATATAATTGCAAAGATAAACTTAATGGTACAGGAATCTGAAAAAAACATTTTTTTTTCCAAAATTCAGACCAAAGCCATGTCCATGATTTATGCTTCATGTTTCTAGTAACTATGTTTATGGGTAGTTTGTACTGAACTAAGTTTTAGGTCAGCATCAGCTTGAGGCTGCATTTATTTCTATAAAAACTATATGTAATTCTTCATTTCCAGCTTTCAAAAAAAATTACCATATAAGATCCTGTATGTGTATGAAGGTACTTAAATGTAACAGGCATCTAACTGTTTTGTAGAATTTGATGCGTTGTACAGACTTGGCATCCCTGACCCAGCAGGCTATATTAAAAAAAGATACAAGTCCACACGACTCTTATTTCTGAGAGCAGCTTGTGTTGGTCAAGAAATTGTAGATCAAGTTGAAGCCTCTGTAGAGGAAGCCATCAGCTCTGGAAACTGGATAGATGTAGCAGTAAGCAATCCTTTCAGTTGTTGTTGTTGTGGTATTTATTTATTTTGTCTTATTTGACTGTGAAATGATACTTTATTGAAACTACACGTATGTATAATGAAAATTCCATATTGTCAAAGAATAATATTCAGCTTAAGTAAAACAGCAAGTAAAAAGGCATTATTTGCCTTTAAGCTGGTCTGAACAAAAGCAGGGGAAGGACATAACAGTATTCAGTTGATAGATATCTAAGACCAACTTCAGTTTCAAAATTAGTGCTAATGTATTATGCTAGAGAGCAATATATTTCTGTGGGAGTTTTTTGGGAAAAAAGTTGAAACTGAACTCTTATGACAGTTTCAGTAAGCAGAGGGATATAAGCCATTTTGTCCTGGCTAAATCCTAATTTTAGGCCTTACAGCACTACTTTGTCACTTGTAAGAAGGCCTGCTGTTGTTTTGTGTTTGGTGTTACTCTGTATCTGTTGAGCTGCATTTTGAAGAAGTTGCCATCCATTTTCCCAGAGGTAACACATATTCTCAAGCAATGCTGATTTGGGATGTTAGAAGATTTAAAACAGTGTTTACTCTTAAATTACTAGCTTAATTTAAAAAGTGTGATATATTCTAAATAGTTAACAGATGTCAAATGGCATGTCTGTGGATTCTATTTATCCACATACAAGTATGTCTGTCCATTCTAGAACAGATAATTGTATGTAAATGATTTTTATTTTCTTTACCCTAGACTCTCCTGCCCAGCTCATTGTCAGTAGAAGATGTTGGGATTTTGCTTCAGCAAGTGATGAGATCTTTAAATAAAAATTCTTCAGGTTTAGTCTTCAGTGACACCATTGTGGTCAGTGAGAAGTTTCTAAGCAGCTGTGCTGATCTATTTTCTGATATGATGCAACAGAAAGCTGAAAAGGTACAGGTTTTTTTATTGGTCAAGGTGCAATATACATGGAGTGTTGGAGTATAGTTTATGTGACTTTGCTATTACGATCTATTTACATCTCATCTGAAATACAACTTGAGAAGAAGGGCGAAAATGAAGAAAAGGTTTGTATATGTAATGTGTGTAATTTACTGTATATTTAGTTGCACTCAGGGAACATCATCACACTAACAGTATGATCAGACGCTGAATTTTGAAGAGAAGAATAAATGTCTCTGCATGTGTTGCACTTGGAAAACGTGGTGTTAGATTAGTATACTTAAAAATGGCCAAATGGCTTAAATGTTTCCATATGTATCTTTTGTTGGTGTGTGTATCTTTTTGCTATTAAGTGCATATTCTTCATTTTAGGAAATGAAAAATAACCCTGTTAATTTAATCACTGAAGAAGATTTAAAACAGGCTTCTGGTTTAGAGAATTCGTATGCTAATAAAAAAGACAAAAAGGATGAAAGAAGAAAGAAAGCAACAGGTAAGGCATCAATATTTAGCTTAAGCCAAAAAGAAAAAAAGAGGCTTGTTTATAGAGCCTTGGAAATATTCAAATATAAAGTTACTATATTTTGTAGTCCATTAATTGCCTCCATTCCATTGCTGAAGATATTTAAGAAATAATCCAACCACTTCTCATCATTATACTGTAGGTGTAGATATATCTGAGCTATGTCCACGAGAACTAATTTCAGGTTTAGAAGTGCAAAGGAAGTACCATAAAGATATCTTCAGTTAGTCCAATACAAGGCAGCTGCCTTTAGAAGCAGAGAATCCATGTTAGTTTATTAGTGTATATGGTATGGTCACATTAGAATGAGTTGTGCGGTGAGGACTGACCAAATCAGTATTAGCTGAGGGACCTCTGTACCATTTCTTATTACACAGTGTAGATACACTCCTACTCTCCACTTTTCAGGGATCCAGGAAAATGAAAATACTTCTTAATAGTCTTGAGAAGTTAATTCCAAAATCACTCTGTCTAATTTGAGAAATGAGGTATTAAGATGGGGTTTTTTGGAAAATATTGTACCTCTTTTCTGAGAATCCCATGCTAGACAATTTTCTGTTGTTTGCACGCATAACAGTTATTTGGAGATTCACACAGTTTAAGGTATATTCTGGGTTAAATTAATCCCAAGCCTTATTCCATTTGTGTGGTGCTGTTTGGAATACATTTTAAACCAGGAAGAATAAAAGTGTGTGGTTTTAGCCCTTTCAAATCTTTCTGGTTTTTAAAACATTATTCAGACTGAAGACTGTATTTTCAGTCCCAAAAACTTTATGTGGCATTTGTGTTGCTACAGCACAGCTGAGCAATCTATGTTGAACTCACATGCAGAGTTTTATGTGCTACTGAAAGTAACAGAATTAGAGCACTGATGCATATAGCTTAATTGAATATACTCATCTGCAAAGTAAAACATTATATCCTACTCTTAAAAAGGCCACAACTGAGTTGACAGGGAAACTAAACTTATTCTTGCCACAAGAGACAGCAGATTTTTCTAGGCTGTAGCTGAGGCAGAGAAGCTTGAACTTTAATTGAACTGTCATAAATAGAATTACTTCAGTTTCCAGCCCTCTGAGGATTGAGACTCTACTGAGCATGTACTATGTGTCTAGACACATTCATATCCGCAGGTAACATGCTGCACCATCAGCAAGCACCACCCGGAAGAGGGGGGTTTTTATGGACTGTTAGGTGTGTTACCTTAAAACAATCAACATCACGGTCTGAGGATTACATGTTGTTACTGCATATTGGCGGAATGTGGCCAATGTCACGTTGCCTATCTTAAGGTCTGCAAGTGACTATATCAATATCTATTAAGGGTAACCTGACGTGGCGTAGTGTTAATGCAGTTCATACTAATATGGATTCTGCCATGTGTTGGATTAATGAAAATTTTCAAGATAAATTCTCTATTGTCTATTTATTATACCATTTACAACAATCTCTTACAAACAAGTATCTGTAGAGGCATGTACTCTTGAAATCCTTTCTGTATGTTACAGTCCATGTATCCTGTTTGCATAAAATACGGCTTTTCTGGCAGTAGTCTCTCTTCCTTCATCTCTCTGTGGATAAGATCTTGACTGCAGATTGCAGCTTTTTCTGTATAGCTATTGAAGTGGAATACAGAATGAAGGGATCTTGTTTCCAAAATAACTAGCGTATTGCACAGTTGACAAACAGTTTGTATCTGCTCAGCTGAATGCAGTCACATTTCAAATAAGCTTGTGAAAAACACCGACTCAGAAGGTCTCACAAGTAAATCATCCACTGCTAGCTGCAAGTGAACTATTCTGGTGTTCCTGCAAAGTAATGCTTAAAAATCCATCTACAGCACATAATGGATGCAGTAGTAGTGAGTAGTAGCATCTTGTCTTTGTGTTTTCTTTTCTTAAATGATAGTACTGTTACATAATGTAGTTACTTGAAATCTTGGACCTTATATTTAAATGGAAAAATAACTACTTTCTCAAGACTTAGTGCATGTATAGAACCAATTATTCCAGAGTTTAAATTTCTTTCAAGTGGAAAAAGAAGGGAACAAGCTGTGGAAAAGGGAACAAACAGCAGAACTGTTTACCTTGTGGAGAGGGACTGTATTGCAAATTGAGATCCTGTCTGTAGTTGTGAATACGTGGATTACGGGACCTGTGAACTAAGTAATTTCTTACGTTTGTCAGAACTGGAACATCTCATTACTTCATAGTCATCTAGGAATAGTCGAAAAAAAGTTAATAAGAAATAGTGTTCTAGTTAATTGAACAAGGGTATTTTGGATAAATGCTTACTATGCAGTATTCTTTCTCTGAAAGTTAACAAAGTTACACTATTTGGAATATTTTTGAGTAGCTCAGTTATTCAGCATCACTGAATAAAAATGGTAAATGCTTACTAAGATGCTATTTTCAGCCAATAGAAAATCCCCCATTACATTACAGACCCTCGTATCTCATCTGTTTTCAGCTGGAAAAAGATATTGGCCTGTCTTTTTTGTTAAGCATATGTATATTTAATATGATTAGTATTTGTGTTTATTAATGACATTAGCTTAAACAAAGCTTTGACTCCGTTGCTTTTTTGTCTTAAGAATGAAACTTAGGGCCCTAAGATTCTGGAATATGTATTGTAGGTTACATTTAGAATCAGGTTGTGGGTTTTGTAAACTTTTAAGGTGCTACAACTTTACTGTGTACTAAGCAAATAATTCTCCACCAGAGGGCAGTGGAAGCGTGAGAGGAGGAGGAGGTGGTAATGCTAGAGAGATCAAGATTAAGAAAACCAAGAAGAAAGGAAGAAAGGATGCTGACAGCGATGAAGAGTCACAAGCAACGAGCACAGGTTTGCCATTTTATTTCGGGCACTATCTATTCATACTGACATGTTTTTATCGCTTGCTTTTCCACATGTCTGTTTCTCCCCATTGTATTGACAAGGTCAGGTAAAGTATTAAAGAAGATGAGAATACTATTTAGTTAGAACTGTATCAATGGATATGATGTTGCTATTTAAATGAAATGAATGTACCATATTCACTGAAAAGTGTAACTTAGTCTTTAAAAAAGAAATTTAAGTAAAGGAAATGAGAGCATTTTTTTTTTTTACTTGATTTTGTGTAGGAAATGCCTTAGATTTTGGGATGAATGTTATACTTCATTTCTTAACACCTGCTGAATAGTGTATGATAAATGGAGAAGTTCTCATCCAGTTCCAAAGCTTAATTAGCTTAAATTAACAAATCATAGCAGTGAAACAGTACTTAGATGTTTTCCTCATAGAGATAAAATATACACTCAAAGTTTTAATATTTTAAATAAGATTCATCTTGTTTAACTGTGTCTTCTAAATCTGAGCTAGCTATCTTTATAACTGTTGACTTTGTAATGGAGGAAGGTAGGTACTTTGAAGGCCTAGTCTGTCTCAGTTGTTTTAGATGTGTATTAAAGGATGAGTTTGAATCGCTCCCTATTGGTGGCCATTTCTCTACCTCCACTGTTAGGAGAAGGAGCATGGATGGCTTCCTCAGAAGTAAACGCATACATTGTTAGACTTTCAGCAAACAGTGGTTGCAAATGAAACAATCATAATTATGTGTTATGTCTTTTAGTTGATGGAGTACCAGAAATGTGTACTTCCATTGTATGTAGAGTATCTAGACTGACTGAAAAATACTTTTAAACATGAAATTTGAAGTTGTGAAGTACAGCATCTTAATTTTGTATGATACTATTCTAACAGGTTACTGTAATTCACATACAAATGAAGTTATTTTTCAGGACTGCTCTGTTACTGAGTAACATAGCGTTATTTCACCTTTTTTTTTGTGTAGCCTTTCATGTTTTACAATTGTTGCTGCTTGTATTGCTGTATTGTAATAAATAGATTGAACCAAAATCCCAAGATAAATTCAGATCTAACCATTCAAATACAAATAAGACCCTTCCAAAACCTGATTTAAGCTCCCTTTCTACCTGTTTCCACCTTGTGTGGTTGCTGCTGTGACACAACTAGGAACATCATTGATTTCCGTTCATTCAGTTACCTTACGTGTAGAATAAACCCGGTTTTATGCTGCATCTGGAACATGGAATGCCTGTCCTTTTCTGGTTCCCTGTCATCATCCTGATCTCATTTTTATATGTAAAAACTTAATTCTGCAGCATGCAGACAAACTTCATATTTTGTCCAAAACCAAAATGCAGGTGCACTAATTTGTATGCATTTACAAGCAGCATGTAAGTTCATGTATTACTGGAACTTCTTGTCTGGTTTAATATTCTCGCTTTTTTGTGTCTTAAATTTTATACTGTAACCTGAAATTTAGGATACTCTCTGTTACATGATTGTGTACCTTACTAAATGGGGTTTAAAAAAACCAACAGCCTTGTGAAATCCTTCAAATAGGAATGTTCTATTCAGTTTTGGCATTTTAAAAAACTATTTGGTCTTGGTGACATCATCATTTCTAAACTAATGGATGGGCCAGGCAGTTTGAAATGTCTCACCAAAAATGCATGTCCTCATATACTACTTAAGTTGTCTATTACAGAAAATAACTTCTAAGTGATCAAAAGAGAAATTTCGCCAGTTTTTCATGTGTGTAGAATTTAACTGTCATGTGTAGTCATCCCTTTTTTTGCATTGTTGGTAATGCATTTCTTCTGTGGAGGTTTGGATTTTGAGGCATTTCAATGTCTCATGCCACAGAGTAACTGCAGCAAAACTAAATATAATGTTTTCTCAATGAATGTTGCTCATGGCCACTATAGGTAGGAATAAGCAGCCGGAGTTCCCTTTCATGTCACAAGAGGAAATTGAGGATGTTTTGAAGACCCACATGCAGGATTGCCCTGAAGAGCTTATTACAGAACTTGCTGAACATTTAATAAGGTAATTTCAGTAATTCAACTGGAGTTACAAAGTCTGTGATTCACTTCAGATGAATCTTCTCTTCAAACTGTTTTCTTGCTTAGAAAAAAATGTTTTGCTGATGGAAGTGAACCACAATATTCTTTGTCTGTACAGCTCCATGTTATATGCTTGCCTGTGTATTAGAAAGCCATGCTGACACAGTAATGAGAAATAATGCTTCTGCTTAGCAGTAGGTGGTTCTGCATCCTTGTCAGCAAGCATATTTTCAGGTTCATGGGTGTATTTCCACCCTCTTACACTTATCCTTGTTGGGGTTTCACCAGTCCCATCTTCTATACAGCCCTTGATATATGTTCATGTTCCCTGTCTTTTGTGGCTCTGGTGGTACCTGTGTGAACTGGGTAGTAAGCTGGGCCAGTAAACTGATCTAAGCAAAGATGAATAACTTCTTTTAAAAGATGTTCCATGTGAGAGAGGATGTGAATATGGGTGTTCAGGGCAAAACAACATGACAGGACTGTAACAGCCCAAGCTTGAATAAACTTGGAGTGCAGTGGTACCTGCATCTTTAGAAGGGCCTGTGCTATTTTAATCCAACTTAAGTCTTCCCCTCTTACAGCTCTCATTGATCTGAAATTTGTCCACAGACCCCTGAAAGAGTTTGTGAATAACGTTGCCTCTAGAAATCTTTGCTATCTTTCATCTTGTTCCCATTTAGGAGTTTTTATGAGTTAAAACCTTGGCAAGCATTTACATGCCATGCATACTGTAACCAGTAGTACTTCTGCAATTACAAAAGTACATTTTAATTTCGTAGCACTTTTTTTCTGATTTCAATTATTTGCATTTTATATATCTCACCATTCTGTGGCGTTCATGTCCCATTCATGTACTGTGTAATGAGGTAGCTTTCTCTGTTGCTGATGTATTTGGAAAAACCTACAGTTTTACACTTTGCTTAATGTTCCCTTTTTCTCCTTTCTTCTTCCTTGTTCTAAGACCTTTAACAAAAACTTATCAGGAAGTTGTGCGTTCTGTTTTTACGTCTTCAACATCTTCCTCTGGAGCTAGCAGAAGACAGACTATGAAGGACTTGCAGGAGGAATTCTCAAACTTGTACAACAACATTCGGTTATTTGAAAAGGGAACAAAGCATTTCACAGGTACAATAAATACATACTTCAAAAAATGAATGTGATCCTTCAAGGATGCTGAATTTATTCCAGAATCTACATTCAAGGTCAAAGAAGAGCAACAGTTTAAAAAGGAAAAAATTAGAGATGTGTTTACACTGCCTAACACTGACCTTACGATAGAGTGCACTGCTTTGCACACTTGCTGAAATAGGTTCTCTTTATTTCATATCCATAGTCTGTTAGATCTTCTGTCAAGATAATTGTTGGTTCTTGTCCTTCCTTCCAAAATCTTTGCATTCTTTCCCAGTTTTTATTGTTGGGGTGGGAGGTGGGGAAGAAAAGCATTACTAAGCTTACTTCATTCTGTCACCTGTGCCACTAATGAAAGACTTGAATACTACCTGATTTTAAGAAGTCCCTGTTAAAACCTCTTTTAGGTTTGATACTAAAAATAGCTGCTCCTGGAGAGTAGTTTTTCAAAAAGGTGTAGATTCATTTTGCAGTGGGTTACTTGGTAGGGTGTCTTCTTTAGCTACCTATATTTTGTGACAGAAAAGTAGCATTAAGAAAATATTGTAGACATTTCCAAAATTCTCTGCTGTATTCAGATTTCTTCTAGAACTTTCCCTGTGGAAAACTTGTAACAAAAGGAAACACTAGCAAAAACCCCCAATATTCCTATGTTTAGGGATAAATGGAATTATTTCCCATTAACCTCTATTCTTGTACATGTGTTCTGTAGCCTCTTTTTTCTAAAATTCTACTGTTTCAGTCTTAAATTTATGTGCCTGGCTCTTGTGTTTAACTGCTTGTCCTGTAGGCTTTTCCTTTACATACTTTTTACTTGTTGATGGATAGCAGTGGTTGTTCATTAGTGGCTCAGGAGGATTGTACAGGGACTGGTTTACTGCTTATACAGATACACCTTTGAAATACTAACAGTGCATTAAAATGTGCTTACAGACCTGAAAGACAAATGTTCCATAAGCAACTGCAAATGAGGCATGTTGGCTTCATGCATCCAGATAACTTTCTCATACTCCTCAGGGTTGATAGAGGTTTTAGGAAGTGCTGTGATAACTGTCATAGGAATCAGATAAATATAGTAAGTTACTTTTAATCACTTCTTTTAACAGATGAGACTCAGAGTAACCTTGCCAAACACCTGTTGAAGACTGTCTGTACAGACATTACAAATCTTATTTTCAACTTCCTAGCATCTGATTCAATGATGACAACAGAAAATTATTCTACAATCACAAGTGAGGTACAGAGATAACGGTTCCTTTTTAACAGTCTCAAGTAGATAGTGGTGTTTATTTAATATTTAATTATCTTCTGTTTAAATATGCCTACAGCTAAGATGGTAGTTAATAGTACAGATTATTTCCATTCTTGTCTCATACAGGTCCGGACCAAGATTTTAGGTAAATTGCCAGAAGACACCAAAGGTCCTTTAACTAAACTGCATACTTCTCTGAATGGCAAGGTAAAGTGATCCAGAATCTTTGAGTTCAGATTTTCGGTTCTGCTGATACAATGCTAATAACCAGCTGACATACATTGTGTAGTACATAACTACTGCTGCTGTGAAGGATGAAGGCAAAATAATATTTTGAATTTGTGTAAGTCAGTGGGAGTAAGTACATTTTCATATTTTTAAGAGGTGAAAAGGTGATCTTACATTTTGATACTGATGGTCACCTAGCTCTTTGCTTCCAGGTGGAATCCAGTGTATCTTTTATGTGCAGGGGAGAAAAGTAAAAGCTGAGAGAGAATCTGCAGTTTGAAGTGGTTGATGTTTCTTGTATTTTGTTCCTGATGTTGCTGATTGTTCTCCCGTGTATTTCTTAACTAGTAAAATCCTGGATATTTAAAAAAAAACCTTCAGATTATGGCAGCGTAAGTACGAAGGAAAATAATTTATTAATTCTTTTATGCAAAGGGCCATAGTAATATTTTTCTTAAAAAAAAAGTGTATCTGTAAATAATTGTAGAACATGTATTCCTTTTTTAATTCTGTTTTTAAGACTAATGGATTATAGTTTGTTTTAGTGTTTAAGTATATGAACTATTGGAAGACAAATAAAGTTAATTTCTACTAAATACTTTTTACTTTCTCTTTTCTTCCATAGTTTATTCCAAATGGATTCACAGTCATCTGTTCGTGTGATTAATTGTGAACAGTAAACCTTTTTCATAATCTGCTAACACAGGTTAAATATTTGTATCATTTTTTACTAGAGTGTAGAAGATTTTCTTTCATGCCTTGATTCTGCAGTGGATATTTGTGGTATTATGATGAAAAAAGGAGACAAAAAGAAGGAAAGGTACCTTGATTTTATTTATTCTATGCACAGTATGTGAAATGTAGCTCTGTTGCTGCACAAATGTTGGATGGTTAGTTTGGTAGCAGTCACACAGAATGTGTAAGAGGCAGTCTTTCTTTCCAGACTGTTTAACTGAAAAATACAAAATCAAGCAGTCCTAATTCCATGGGAGAAGGAGGAGGGGAGAGTTCATATTTAGCTAATTTGCTCGACTCACTGCTTACTACAACACAGTTTATAAATTCTGTAGGGGGCTTTCAAAATCTGAGCTACACCAGTGCTAGCTTTCTTTTTTTTCTTTAATGTGGAATTTCACATACAGAAATGGTCAGTCAGAGGAGAAAATTAAAATTAATTGAAGTTAGATATATTTTAGAGTCTATCATCAACTACTGTAAGACAGAATGAGAAACATATTTTATTTAATGTGTTCCTGTTCTTTAGGCAAGTCCTGTTTCAGCATAGGCAAGCTCTGATTGAACAGCTAAAAGTCACAGAAGATCCAGCTCTTGTTCTGCACCTGACATCAGTACTGTTATTTCAGTTTTCAACCCACTGTATGCTTCATGCACCAGGAAGATCAGTACCACAGATCATTAATTTCCTAAGTGGCAAGATCCCAGAGGTATTCCTTTCTAGCTTTTTAAGGGGACAGTACCTTTTTCGTATGACAGAACATAAAAGTTGTGCCTTATAATTTCTGCTGCATAAGACTGGCACCTTTGTGTTTCATGTATAATCATTATTTTATGTACAGAATATACAATTTCTCTGATCTGTGTGGTATTCAAACGTGTCATTTCAGGGATCTGTCTTCAGTATTTTTTAATAAAATTGTAAATCAATGTTTTTAGTACTGCAGCTTTTGCCTTTATCCATAGAGACAGCTATGCATTGGGGGATGTTATAATTCTTATAACTGAAATTTTTTACATTCTCTTTCCTACCAGCTAAATCACGGTTGCTTTTTAAACTTTTCTAGTTCAGTTTTAAAGAAAAATACACCTCTTCAAAAGTAAGAATATTGAAATTCTGTATTCTGAACTGTCAAAGCTGGTGATGTTTACTAGCTGCATTGCTTTCCTGCTTCAGTGGTTAATTGTCCTGTTTTTGCAGCATGGATGCACTTTCATTTTTCTGCCTCTTTGAATGTCTCTCAGAATTTAGGTTGCAAAATACCTTGATGGAAATATATTTATGTATCACTGACCCTCTTTAAGCAAGAATGGGAGAATGCTTTTTTAAAAATTTAATCTTTAATTAAAGGTCTGCGTACCTTCTCCGTAACATTGACATTCCTTTGTTTTGTTCTGTTTCTTCCCCTCAGGATCAGCATTCTCTGTTAGTCAAATACCAGGGATTAGTAGTGAAACAATTGATCAGACAGACTAAGAAAACTGAACATGGAGACGGTGACACAACAGATAACCTGGAGGAGGAGGAAGGAGAAGATACCATTCGAAAAGAGCTCCAGGAAATCACTACCTCTATCAAAGATCTTGTCCTCAGACCTAGGAAATCTTCTGTAACAGAGGAATAAAATTATTATTCAGTTCATCCACATCCATGATACAGTCAGATTTTATTTTTTTAATCCTGAAGAGAAGGAAAGCAGAAAATGCTTGACAAACTTTAAAATTTGGCTTCTAACAATTGCAAACCACAGCCAGGGAACACGGTTGTTGGGTGATGGTGACAAATGGAGTTTTGTTATGTACTACTACAGTGTACGTGTAACACACATTAAAAGTAGATGTGACAGAGCACAGTTGTGGACACCCTGGGTATGAAATTAGTGAGTTTTAATTGGCTTCTTCATGTGAGGTGTCAAGAAATTATTATTCTTCAAATAACAGTGTATCCTGTTCCATACACACACAGGCTTATAGTTTTACTTCTCTGATTTGGATCTATAGTGTTCTAAGGATTACATATATGTGTGTATAAGCCTGTATACCTTAATTTCAAATAATAGTTTTGAAACATATACCAAATAATATACCAATGAAAGGCCATCTTTACTTTTTGATATTATTAGTGAATGTTTTCAGCTTCTGTTCACTGGGCCGCAACAGTAAAAACATTGAGTACAAGTGTATATTGCTAAACTTAAGAGAAGTGACCCAGTACTAATGTGAGTTTCTGAATGTACTGAAAGCTTATGAAAATCAACACACTCATGCTATTAACGTATTCTGTTAATATCTGTAATAGCAGTTCATTTAAAACTTGTAATTTGGACGGAGGAGGTGATACCGTTTTGCACTGGTATTTTGGGAGTGGATAAATACTGTTACACCTGCCATATTTTACATGCTATATGTTCATTCAGCAGACTTGTTGAGTTCTTAGTCCAGTTCCTACAACAGTTAGAAGCACTTGCTTGCATTGTGTCAGCTCCTTGAGAGAACTTGTGCTATTCTGTTTATCCTGAGTTTCTTGAAAAGAATTTAGTTTATGATCTTTCTACATAAACTTTATAGACCGAAATATTGGCTAAAGCGTTTGCCTCAAGTTTTTTGCCAGCCTTATTTTCACGAGTGGTACTTTGTGTTCAGGAAAGTGGAAAAAATGTGTAAAATAGTGTTCTGCCACTATTAATGACATAATTCTTGTATGTCAAATATATTCCTAACTTTTAAGAGAAGATAATTTTCAAACTGGAAATATTTTAGTTGTATTACTTCAGTAATGCCCATTGATTTCATGTGTGTAATTTCAGGTTTTTGCATAAAATCACGTTGAGTAGTAAGACAAGTTCTTTTCACTAAAAATGTCATTCCCCCATTCTTGCCAGAATTCTTTGATGCTGAAAGCAAGCAAATTCTGTGCAAGCTCTACTCTGTTCAAATATTTCTGGTTTCCAACAGTTCATGTATTCTATAAGCTTAATCATAAATATACCCAAGCCTGAAATTGCAACAAATGAAAGTGGAAGAGGCCAAGTATGGAAGGTCAGTAACAGATTAACCAAGGTTAAGTTAATTTTGGTAAGGTAAAAAATCAAATTTTATACATAAATAACAGGCAGTAATGTTTAACAATGTTCACATCAATGCTGATCTTTTACCAACTGTAGGGCAAAACAGTTCGGCAGTTGTAAGGCAGAAGCAAAGATTGTTGTTTCTCTTTCCTTGGCTGGAGGCTCTCATAGCTGACAATAAAGGACAATGAGTAGTAAGAGATGAAAAAAATTCAGGCTCCTTACCTTTGTTTAAGAAATAGTTTGCATACAGGGAATAGGTTTGTTTTCTTGTAATTTAGCCAGAATAATTATTAAGTTCCTATACTGAATGTAAACACTTTTATATGACTTTGAGCTATTTTGTAAATAATATGCCATATGACATTCTGTATGCAAATGTGAAACTATTTTAATAACATTAAATGACAAAGTATTTAAAATGCATTCTGCTGACTTAACCAATGGTTGATTATCTTACAACTTGTAGCTTTCAAGCAGCAGTTGGTAATATGCACCATTTAATTTAATACACCATTCTGAGTGCCCCTGTATTTTTGTTTGATACTGTTTTATGCTGGAATAATAATTAACTTACTATAAAATTTACCATACGATGTGTTAGACTTGCTATATTATAGCCAATGTTGTAAGAATGATAAAAAAATACATTCTTTGAAGTAGATACGAGGGAAGCACTAAAATTCAGAGATATCTTCTGGCTATGGACAGAATTCAGGGAGACATAGGTTGGAAAACCTTCCCAGACATTTTTGTTGTCTCTTAGATGTGGAAAATCAGTCTTTAGTTTATGATATAGAGGTATTTTGAAAGAGAAAGAAAAGGAATATTCACAGTTTCCTGAATATTTTACTAATTCATGGGTTTTTTTCCTCACCCTAGGAGGAATGTATGCCAAGAGGAAGAGTAACCTTGTCTTAGAAATCAGAGGTCCTGTTCACAAAACAAAACTGTCCTTTGGAATATCTAGGAAAATGAAAGGCAATACAGAGTGTATAAATTAGAGCTTTTACTTTGCTTTTAAGTATTTAGTGTCAGCCTCTCATTGCCTTTCACCTATGGTATGTAAACACCAGCATTGTATTTTTCTAGACTTATAAAGCTGACATGTATATACGCATGCATGTATATATACACAACTATTTATAAACATGCATCTTGTAGCCTCATTTGTTGCTACTCTCAGGAAAGTGGAATGGATGCATTAGCCATAGGTAGAACAATACCCTTCTCAGCAACAGCCTTTCCCTGTTTTTAAATGGCAAAATGTGACTTTTGTAGCTGGTTATTTGCAGGTCTGCTGGAAATAAGCAAACCTGTTGCTCTGTTAGAACTTGCAGCCTTCTTCCCAATTCTCTTGTTATGTAGCTTCTTTTAAAAAAAAAAAAATTGGCACAAGTTTCTAAGTCATAGCACTGGGATTTGTCTGCATGAATCCATCTTACAGCTTGTTCAGATAAAACTACAGTACTTCTGTTCTCTGTGTAGGCTCATGAGTAGGCTACTCATGCAGTAGTTGCTCCTTGAATTTTTTTCCTAGTAAGTAACAGTTACATTTTCCTTAGGCCAGGAAAATGGAAATTTCTGCAAAACTGGGTAGATTTTGGGGTTTTTTTTAATAGGAAGTTTAGTACTCTTGCAGAAGACAAAAGAGTGTACTGGGTCAGATCGAAGGTCTGCATAGCCTGGTATTGTGTCTCCAGCAGGGGCCAAAAGTGGATGCCTAGGGAGGAGTATAAGAACAAGGCATGTAGCGATTTTTCCCTTGAGTCCTTTTGAGCCTCCAAATATGTGCTACTCAAAGTTTTTGAATGATGATTGTGCTTTAAACATAGAAAATTGTAATTGTCTGAAGCTTTTGGGTAAACAGGATACTTGTGAGAACAGAATTCCTTTCTCTGCTGACCCAAATAACAGAACATATTCAGTAAGTGCCGAAGATGTTTTCTCAGGAAAACAAGTTAATTATTTATTTATCTTTTCTTTTTTAGGAATTGTTAAGGAATTACATACCTTTTTTTTTTTTTTTTAAATTAAAAAATAATAATCTGAATTGGGAAGAGCAACTTGAGTAGTTTAAAGAGAAACACCATTTGGTTGATGAATTTCCCAAATCCTCAATATGAAGAGGAAGCTAGGTCAAGACAGGTCATGTCTGGGAACAGATAAAATAAGCTGCTTTCTATTTCGGGAAGTTCAGGAAGAGATGTGAGGGCTGTAGGAGACATCACCTAACTGATACTCTGAAGAAGCAGCAGAGTTTTTGTTGACCTCTTCAGTTGTACTCAATTTGCACCTATTGGCAAAAAATCTGATTCTGTTTTAAATGCTTCTCTGGGCATATCTTCTATTTAACATAGTTATGATCTCTATCTACAGTTAAACAAATTTGAGGCTAGTCTTTGAAGTTTAAGGAAAGTGATATGCTGGAGGAGGTGTCTGTACTTCTCATCCTTTCTGGAAAGAAGATAGTGCATTAGAAGTATTTCTAAGTGTCATTAGCTCTTTTGACAGATCTGTTTGCATAATACTTTTGTCGTGCTCTGATTTGTGAACTTCAAAAAGTATGTGGTCAAGAATTGTACTTTCAGTTTTTTTCTTTCTGGAAGTGAAGGCAATTCATGATTATTACTCGACTCAAATTCACACCTAACTCGTCCTCTCTCCTCAAACTGCAAAAATCACAAGCTTGAAAAGTGCTTGGTATAAATAAAGCTTATAGCTCATATAAAAATAGGAGAAAAGAGTTAAGTATATGACAAAATAAGTGTCTGCAGAGGTTTAATAAACCACTCAGCCACAAATAAGATGGTCAATTCTTGGCAATAATAATCAGAGGATCAGTCTTAATTGCAAGATACTATGTAGGCACAGATAATGTCCAGAACATGTCCAGATTTGGCAATTTTACCAAAGTCTTTAGATAACGTAATACATCTTTAAAGCATCTAAACATTTCCTCCTTTCTTCTATCTGTGATATAAAACACCTCCCACCCACTTGACATTATAGACTAAATGATTCAGATCTATTGGCTCTTGGTTGTGGAAAAATCTGCCTGGAAGTCAGTCGTGGTTCATACCGCAAGCAGCAATCCTTTTTTTTTCATTCCGCGTAACTTCAGCCTGCGTTTTTAAATGGACACAATATCCTTACTTTCAGCTGCGGTTGATTAAAGGTCTGCATAGAGTCTTATGCAAAATATAAGCACTTCTGTATGCTCCATGCATGTGGTAGTCTGTCTGTGAAAGTTAGCTGGCCCCTGTTCTGTGCAAGCAAAAAGTCAAAGAGATGACTGCAATTCGGGGAAGGCCAGAACTGGGCAATACTGAGAACCTAGAGGAGGCCATTGCTGCCGCGCTGATGGGAACGCCGTAAGAACACCTTCCTGCCTGCTGGAAGAGCAGCAAATTGTTCCAGCCCAGAAATTGCTTTAGTAGCGTCAGAGGAGTTCTGCTGGGTCCCCAAAGTCTTTTCTGAAATTGGAAGTGTTTCTCCCTGCCCCGCAGTTCCTGTACACAAGTCAGACTTTGGTAATAATGACTTTTCTAGTTCTTTTCTGATTTACAAGCCCATATGAGGTCTTTTGGATTCATTATGCATGGACCAAACTGTATCTGGGAATTAATTATGATCCATTTTTTTCCTTTGTCTTTTTTTTCCTTTTTTTTATTTTTTTTTTTTCCTTTGTACTGAACAGTTTGGGGCTTTGGGGGGTTTTGATTCTTTAGTTTTTTAACAGAAATCCCTTTTTCCTTTTGACAACTCTCTGAAATATGTTCCTTTAAGAGCCTCCTACATGGTATGTATTTGCAATTTGTAAACACAGTATGTCAAAGAATGATTTGATTCTGTGG